CCTCCCCTTCCCCCTCCTCTTCCTCTCCTTCCCCCTCCTCTTCCTCTCTTTCCCCCTCCTCTTCTTCTTGTTCTCCATTTCCTTCCTCCCCTTCTACCTCTCCTTCTTCCTGTCCCCCTTCTCCTTCCTCCTCCTCTTCTTCCTTTTCACCTTCTCCTGCTTCTTCCTCCTCTTCTTCTTTCCCTTCCCCTTCCTTCTCTTCTCTGTGTCCCTCCTCTTCTTCCCCTTCTTCTTTCTCTTCTCCCTCCTCCTCCTCTTCCTCCTCTTCTTCCCCCTCTCCTTGCTCTTTCCCTTCTCCTTCATCCATCTCTTGGTTTCTTTCTTCCTGATGACCTCGCTCCCTCTCCTTTTTCTCCTGTTCTTCCTCATCCCTCTTCTCCCATTCCTTTTCTTCTTCTAGGCCCTTCTCTCCCTTACCCAGGCTCTCCATTTCTCCTCCTCCCTTGTCCTTCTCGCCCTGCTCCTCCCCCTTATCCCTCTGCTGCTGCTCCACTCCTGAACTACCCCCCTTGCAAATCCCATCCCCTCCATCCTCAGGCCAGTCCTCTGCCTCTCCCCCTGACTCTCCCTCACCTTCACTCACCTCTGCTTTGTCTGTAAGGTCATCTGACAGGTCCTCTGCTTCCTCCTTTCTTCCTCCATGCACCTCCACATTCTCCTTATGTGTTTCTACCTCTTGCTCCTCTAAGTGGCCTCCTTCTGAATCCTCTGCTCCTTTCTGCTCCTCTGGGAACCCTGACAAGTGGTCACACTTAAAATCATATTTTGCCATGATTTTGGGTATTTTGGGTTCAGTTTCTTCCCCACTTCCTTGTTTAATAAATTTTCTGCTATACCACATGCTTTGGTCAGTTTGCACATCATCATCCTCTTTCTCTCCACTACTAAATTCTATCGACTCAGGCTGCTTGAATCCATCAGCTACACCCTGCTGACTCTTGCTTTCACCTTCCACGTAACTGTCTGGCTCTTCTATCAATTCTCTTTTACCGTCAAAAACCACATCTTGCCTGCTGCTTCTCCTTTTCTTAACAAAATCTTTATTTTCTTTATTCTCAGTATTCACACTTCTATCTGGTAATTTGTCAAAGAATGAACTAATACTTTTTGTATTCTCTTCCCTTTTTCTTATCTCCTTCAGACCTGCTCTTTTCACCAGCTTAGTTTCCTTCTCAGAGACTCTTTTTTCTGCTTCTGAATCCTCTGACTGCATCCTCCATCACTTTCCTTTTCTATTTCCTTAGCATCAAGTTGATCAATACTGCTTTTATTTTCATGTCTAAATATCTCTTTTTGCAAACCCTCTCCATTGGTGTCAGTCTGAGGTCCCGCCTCGCCTGAGTCATTACCTATTTCTTCATCTGAATATGCTTCCACGGTCACAGCCGCTTGCATGATGAATATCCCTTTTGTCACATGTTGTTGATATGCTTTCCTTTCTTTCATTTTTGACATCTCTTCATATTCATTACTATCATCAGTTTCAGAATCAGCTGTATGCTGCATCGGTTTCTCAATTGTTTCTTGTTTCTGTAAATTTTTTAAAGTAATCGTCATACTACTATTAGTTGACAAAAGTAACTTATCTACTATAAACTACCGCCAAGATTCTACAAAGTTTCACTAAGAGAATTAAAGTGGCCAGCTTTACCAGACATTTTGCTGAGGTGTTGTTTTCTTTAGGGATAATTTATGCTGCTCTCTAGGTCTGTGATATATCTAATTTTGATTTAGTAACATGTATGTGTTTTTGTTTAACTTTCAAGTCTTACTACCTGCCTTAATTTTGCCATTAATCACAATACCATCAACATTTATTCTCTGCCTTTTCTCAATATAAATCAATCCTTACACAAAACTCATTTCCAGATAGATTTTGCAAGATGGTATTAAAAAATGTACACTTCTCTTGCATGTAGTGCAGCTCAGAATAATTTTTTCCACCTTCTCTACCATTTCTAATTTTCGAATTTTGATTTGTCTTTTGAGTCTATAAAATTCACAAAATTAAAGAAAATAAAAATGTAAACAATTTTAAAAAAATAATAGTTTATTTATAGAAGAAAAAACTGAAATAAAAACTGCTCATGAAATCTTTCTTATCTATAAACTAAATAATGAATAATTAATATACTTTTTTCTAAACAAAATCTTTATATGGGTTTTTTAATTTCTGACCCTCTTCCTATTAAATTCTTGAATTATAATAATTTATATACATGAAAAAACACTAATTTGTATACATGAAAAAATACTAAGGGTAAAATATAAGATTTGTATAAAAATATGAAATCAAACGTTGAAATCTGATGATACATTAACAATACGAAATTAATTTCCTACTGGACAATACAGGGTAAAACCAAATTGTTGGCCTAAAACTAATGGATTCAAATATCAGATGAATTTGGGTTTCTGGATAGTAAAACCTCACTAAATCAAATTGTATAAATTGTAAGGAGTGCTAGGCATAGGAAAAAGTTCATTTCTTTGCCAAAGAAATTATTAAAACAGGACAAGTTAAAAATTAACAAGCAAATATATAGAAATAGTATAATAAATCCTTTTTTATTCACTAAAGTAGGCCTGGTAGGGCCAAAACTTGAAAGGACGACATTAAGTATAAAATGTACATCAGCTTAAGAGGAAGTGTTTTCCTTTTCTATTTGTTCTAGGTCTTATTCTTTAAGAAGTCATGATTCTTTCAAGAGCGCTAAGGGAGACAGGCCCAGTTGCCAGAATTGATTTCTAAATGTATATGCCTTTCTTTCTCTAGTACAATAAACCACCTCAGAAGAGGCAGAGCCCAGTGTATAAGAGAAGAGAAAGGAAAGATGTCCACTTGGAAGTACAGTTAGTCAAAAAGTCAGTCAACATTCACTGAGCTTCCACAACTGTGTTAGAACAGCTTTCTCATATTCAAGAAATGCTGGCATTCACCAGGCCCCTCAGTAATATAGATAGGACTAATGAGGACTGGCTCTAAATTTTTATAATTTAGCAAGATTTTCTTATGTTTCAGTGGCTTTGATTTTAAAGATTTTTAACTTCAAAATGTAGCAAAGGCACTACAAATAAAAATTAAACGTTTTAACAGCCATCTTCTCTCAATTTACGTTCTCCAATTTATTTCCCTAATCCTCAAACCCTTCCTTTCATCCCACTGGTCCTTAAAGCCAGGAAAAGCAAAAGATTTCAGGACAGGACTTTGTCTCCAGGGTTGTGAAAACCACAACCACAAGCACAATTCCATCCTCTTACTATTCGTTATTCGTTAAAGGTTTCTCTTTCTCACCCGTGAATGGTCTCTAATTTCCAAATGTTTACTTTAATCTTGTTTTATGCTATCAATTACTTGATAAATTAAAGTCTAATCCAAAAATTACAGAAGTAATTATGAAGTATTTTCACTAAAATCACATTTTAAAGCTAGAAAAGATATTAATAACATCCAGTAACAGCAGCATAGTAACTCACTCAAAGTCATACTCAACCAAAGTGAGAGAGCCACTCTATTAATAAACAGTAGCCTCTTGTTATACATCAGAACTATAATCATAATCTATTGCTTGACAGAAAGAAATGTATGGCTATTATAACTTAAGTTAGTGATCCCAAGGAGCAAATTTCAGCAATAAAACTCTACCACTTTTGTTGCATCACAGAAAATACATACCAACAGAACAAGCCAAAACGGGGGTTATTTACATTGTATTCCTCTGTCTTTTAAATTCCAATGTACGCAAATGCTTACCTTTCTTGTGTTCTTTCCAGAAACTTTCCCCCCCAAATTAAACAGTTCCTACCCACCATAATGAAATTAAATGTTTGCATTATACCTTTTGTTTTTGAACTGGTGATAATTTTAATGACTTGTCATTGGAATTCTGGCTCATCATATGTGTCTGAAATAAATAAAAAAATGAAAGTTTTAAAAAGAATAAAGCTATATACATGACTATATGATTATATATTTAAACATTGCAAATATATATAAATAAAATGAATGCCAAATAGTTCAGATAGTAATATAGTCTACTCTCAATGGCCACACTAATAATGTGAGGATCAAAATAAATTTCATTATATTTGAATTATACCTCAATAAAGTTAGTTGAAAAATAACAAACAAAATGAAACAAAAACAAGCAAGCAGCATTTTATGCATAGAAGAGTATAGGAAGTATACACATACACACACACAATGAACTAAAATTCAAACTCATATCTAGTTAGATAGATAGGAAATCATTACCATATTTAAGACATCAGTAGTTTCTCCAAGGCTTTCTGAATCCTCTCCTGAAGAATTTTCTCTCTCTTTGCCTTTGGTCATTTTATCTTGAAAATAATATGAATGATTAAAAGGGGAAAAGGAAATGCAGATTCAACAGAAAAGTGAAAGGTAACTGACCAAAACTAAAAATTATTCTGTAACATAAAGTACAGGTATAATTTTACTAAAAGTCCTTTAACCTAATGTTAGGGGAATTGAACAGAATTCATTCAGAGTGATAACAGGTTTTAAAATCTCTTTTTGAAGTTTAAAAACTTTGACACTGATTAGATAACAATTGCTTCATTCATATGGACAAGCAAACACTGTGAAAATACTACCCAGGTATTGAGCACTGTGATAGCTAGTCCCAACAAGGGCCCCAATGACCTGCATCTTCCTATGTAGCTCGCTTGTACATTACACCAGGTTGGTCTGTGTGTATATGACCAATAAAATAACCAGACACGATTGTAATGGCGTCGTAGCTTCTGTCTTGGTTACATGCATTTTTTTTCTCTCTCTCTCTTGCTTTCTTTCTCTGTCATCACTTGCTGTGGGGTAATCCACATTGTGAGCATCTCTATGGAGAAGCCTATGTAGTGAGGAAGTGAGGCCTCCCACCAATGGCCATGTGAATGAGCTTAGAAGTAGATTTCCCAGCTCCAGTAAAGCCTTCAGGTAACTGCAGCCCCATCTGACAGTGTGACTGCAACCCCATGGAAGACTCTGAGCCAGAACCACCCAGCTAAGCTGTCCCTGGATTCTTGAGTCTCAGAAACTGTATGAAAAAACAAATGTTTGTTGTGTTAGCCTGCTAAGTTTTAGGGTCATTTTTTTATGTAGCACCAGAAAACTAGTACAAGCACCTAGAACTTTTCACAGAAAACTACAAGGTTATTACATCATAAAGCAAATAATTAAAAATCATAAGTTCTATTTGATCTTATATTTTTTCTCAATTTCTTACTATACCTTCATTGATCACCTGTATATTTATTTGAGGGTAGCTCCTTAATGAAGTCTTCACTAAAAGATGCCAGTCCACACTGATCTCTCCCTTTTAAATCCATTTAATTGAATGGGCAAGTAATCATTTGTGTTTATTCCATGTGAAGTGATATGCAGAAGAGCAACTTAAATAATTGCTAATTCTTTTTTATTTTTATTGTCTATATTTAAGGTGTAAAACAGATATTTTGGTATACATTTGTAATTGTTAATTCTTAATGAACATATAGTCTAGAAGGGAATATAAAACATATGACATAGAAGAATGACAAATCACATCCATGTTGGGAACCAGGAAGGGTTTCACTAAGGAGGTACATGGAAGGATGAGTCAAATTCTGAGAGGTAGAGAAGGAGGTAGAAGGGGAAGAAAACGAAGCCCATTCCTAATAAAGCAGCAGAACAGTAATCTGAGCAAAGGAGTAAGAAGAGAAAGAGAGGAAAGAAGCTTGTTTTGAAAGCTTATCATATGCCCGGAACATATGCTTTTACATATGTTAGATTAATTCCATGACAACAAGAAAAGTATTATATCCTCATTTTATAAATGAGGAAACTAAGCTTCAGTGACCCTGTTGGTGCCCAGTGTCAATCTCAGGTCTGTCTGACTCCATAGCCCGTGTTCTTTCTACTTAGACTTTGAATGGCTCAGTTTGATCAAAATCAAGGGATAGCAAACTTTTTATCTAAAGGGCCATACGATAAACATTTTAGGCTTTGTGGTCCACAAAGTCTCTGTCCTAATTAACCTCTGACATTATAGTGTGAAAATAGCCACAGACAAATCATAAAGGAATGGGTATGGCTGCAGTTCAATAAAACTTTATTTAAGGCCGGGCACAGTGGCTCACACCTGTAATCCTAGCACTCTGGGAGGCCGAAGCGGGTGGATCGCTCAAGGTCAGGAGTTCGAGACCAGCCTGAGCAAGAGCAAGACTCCGTCTCTACTAAAAAATAGAAAGAAACGATCTGGACAACTAAAAATATATATATATAGAAAAAATTAGCCGGGCATGGTGGCACATGCCTGTAGTCCCAGCTACTCAGGAGGCTGAGGCAGAAGGATTGCTTGAGCCCAGGAGTTTGAGGTTGCTGTGAGCTAGGCTGACGCCACGGCACTCACTCTAGCCCGGGAAACAAAGCAAGACTCTGTCTCAAAAAAAAAAAAAAGCAACTTTATTTAAAAAAACAAGCAGCTAGCTGGATTTGTCCCACGGGCTATTTCTGCAGACTACTGATCTAAATGAAGGTTGTTAGGAAAAAAAACTATTCAGATATAAAGCTAGAAAAGCAGGTGGGAGTTATATGGGAAAATCTATATTTGTTTTCATAAATATCAGGGATTCACTGAAGACACTGGAGCAGAAGGAAACTGAATTGCACCTGAAGAATATTAACATGCAAAGTGTTATGTAAGATAGATTGGGCAGGGCAGAGAACATAGGTTTGGAAAATATATAGTAGATTATTTAAACTGATGACCTTGCCTCAGACTTGACTGAGAAAACAGAAGTCACCAGACCTGATCCACTTGATCTCCTCACTGGCAAACACATCAATTACCTACATTTGTACCCTAGTTCTAATTTTCCTGTTAAAATGTAGGACATTTTTCCTGTTATTAAAGGCTGCTGTGTACCCCTCCTGTCTTCAAAGAGCTTTGCATCCTTGGTTATACTTTCTCTCTTCTGCACTACCAAGCTCTCCTGGACTACTGGCTCATCCATTAGCATACAAATGTGCTCCACTATTTCCTATTGAGCCCACATCTCCCTCTAGCTGCCAGCCCATTTCTCTGCTCTACTTCATCACCAAATACGCAAATGAATTATCCACATATCCTATCTTCTCTTCACTTTCTCATTCCTCCTTCATGCTTCAATTTTTAACACTCTGGCTTCTGCCCTGATCTTCTGCTGGAACTGTTCTTGTTGAGATCACCAGTAATCTCCATGATACCAAATCCCTTGTTGAAATCACCAGTAATCTCCATGATACCAAATCCAGTGGATGCTTCTTCAAGCTCTTTTCCCTTGACCTTTGAGCAGTACTTTGCATTCATGACATTACTCAGTTCTATTTTCCCTCCTCCTACCTTACTGGCTGACAAGGCTGAGGAAGGATTCTTCCCTGGCTCTTCTTCCTCTACCCTCTAAATATTAGATGTTCTTAGGGCTACGTCCTGGGCCCCCTTCTCTTCTGACTCTACTCTCTAATAGGTGATTGTACCAACTTCCATGGATTTTAAATACCATGTCTATGTTGATGGTTTCCAAATTTATATCTCTAGTCCAGAGTTCTCTTCTGAACTTTAGGCTTGTTTTTCAACCATCTGTTTGATACTTTTACTTGGATGTCTCACAAATATCTCAGGCTCAATTCTTAAATTTCTTCCTCAGACTTGTCAACCATCCTCTTGCTTAGGAATCATCCTTGATTCCTCCCTTTATTTCAAGCCTATATGTAATTCATTAACATTTAGCAAGTCAAGTCGGTTTTGTCTAAAATGTATTTCAAATCTGCCCTCTTCTCTTTTCTCCATCTCCACCGTAAACACCATCATCTCTTGGAAAAGGCTCACAAGTGTTTTTCCTACTTCTAGTCTGGCCTCCATACAATTCACACAGAGGCAGAAGTGATCATCTTAAAATGTAAATTGGATTGGAACACATCAGTCCACTGTTTAAAACCCTTTAACTGCTTTCTGTTGTACTTAACAAAAATATTCAAATCAAATAAACCTCTTATGGCCTATTAAATCATGAATAATTTTTCACTGTCTCTCTCCATCATCATCTTGTCCTAGGCTTTTCTCCTCACTTTCTAAGCCCCACTAGTCATCTCTCCTTTTCTTATAAGCTGCCTCCAAACCTCTGTCTATATAATTTTCTTTGTCTGAAATGCATATATTCTTTTTGTATGGCCATCTCTTTCTTATCCTTTATATTTTAGTTTAAATGGCACCTTCTCAGCAAAACCTATCCTGACCTCCTCTCCTCCATTATAAAGACTTAAGTCCGTAAATGATTTAAAAAAGTCACATTATATATTGGCTACAACTTTCAAAATACTTTTCGTTAAGAGAGTTTTAGCAAATAGTCACAAGAAAGTTAAGGGATGGCTTTTCCTTTTGATCTAACTACAAAATTATGTATATTTTCACATTCAAATTTCTTGAAGTGGCAAACAACTTTCCCCAAAACATAAACATCTCTTTTCCTTGTATACACTACTTGTCAGAATCTACTACTTTTCCCATGTCCAAGGCTGAAAAGCACCATTAGACATTGATTCTTATTTCAAAAGGAAACATACAAAAGTTGTGGGTTAGATACAGGAAATTAGCTCATTAGCAAGGTCCTAGTTATAGTTATATTCCATTTGCATGGCCCATAACTGTTGCTTGAGTTCCCGATCCTTTATTACTTCAAACTTTTGCCTAAGTTCCTGATCTCAAAGATACTAAAAATTATCTGTGCCATGGTTCTTAATCCCTGATGCCCAGGTTTATCTTCTTAATTTCAAACCTACTGCTTACTCTCTGATCTCCTGGTCCTGGCTTCTTGTCCTGCCCCTATCATCCAAGCACATGCCCTGCAGTAATACATAGACACATCTAGGATACACAAAAGTCTGTGAACAAAATTATTTAGAAGAGTTGTATAATAGCAAAAGGGCTGGGATTATCTTCATCTAATAGGCAGTGAGGTAGAAGTGTTAATAATAATCATAACTATATTTGTTAAGGGGTTTCTAGAGGTGCTGGACTCAATATAAATATTTTATATATCTGATCTCATTTAATCCTCCCTGTCACTTTCTCAGGTAGGTATTATTAAACCCCTTTCAGTTAGTAAATGTCAGAGCTGGTATCTGACCCCAGATCAATTTAACTCCAGAACCCATCCTCTTAACTACTATGCTATGCTGCCTAAATACAGAATTTCATGTAAGTCCAGAAGACCTGCATTCAAATCTTATCCACTTCATTTATGAACTGAGTGACATTGGGCAAGTCACTTAATCTCTCCAAGCCTTGCTTTTCTCAACTGTAAAGTGAAAAATATAACTCTTTCCTAGTTCATGGAGTCATTTCAGGGTTTAAAGGAGATAAGTAAAGGAAGGCACTATATATGTTATCTATTACTCTATAAAAATATGCCACTGTGGCTATATGGCACTCTTAGGGCCACTGACAGTGCTTTCTATTTGTAAGGGTATTCCTGGATTTGAGTTCAAATGAGAGATTTCGGGCTCTAACCAGGGAGAGAAAATTCAATTAACTGGAGAAAACATCTTAACATGAAAATGATAGGAATAAAAGACACATTTCTCCTGAGAAGAGAGAGTAGCAAATGTTACCTGGTTCCATTGGTGGCAAGGAGTCCTCCTTCTCAGATTTGGTTTTCTCTGGCAGGTTACTCATAGACAAATGGGAAGGGTCTGAATTAGGGGGAAAAAAAGCTGGTGCGGTAGCAGTCCCTTCTATTGGAGGTAGTGTTCGCATAGTTTGAATAGAATCTGGGGATTTCTCCTTTAAAATAAGCAAGTTAAATAAACTGTCAAATGGCGTTATATATTTAATATTTCTATAAACTTTCCTGCAGTTCCTAAAAACGAGAAAGACTTTAAGAGAAAGACTTCCAAGTCTGCCAACATTCCACAACATTTACTTATTAATAATCTTCGAGGGCTCAAAAATGTTTTGTTCTGTTGTCTCTATCTTAGTTGCTCTAAGTTGTCAATTTGGAAACCTTTTTTTTCACATGATGGGGAAAAAGTGTGCGTGCTACCTTCCCTGAGAAACCAAAAAATTACTCATAAGCTGTAAACAAGCAACTACTATGAAACACTGATGAGTTATTTCTCAACCTTTCCATATATACTCTTTCATGATAAAAAGCCAGATGTAACCTTTTTATTTCAAAAGGAATATGTCTTGGAACTTAAGGTAATTTTCAAAAAAAGGAATATCTCCTTTAAAAATTATTGGCCATTTACTTTTTAAAAATATATATGTCATTGAAACAATTTTAAATTGTTTCAATTGTCATTGAAATAATTTTAGAGCATAGGTGAATCTCCAAATTTAACTGAAAGAGACTATTCCTTCTCTCAAATTAAAGTCCTTATTTCTTTGTTTTTTACATTTCACTATAGTGCACAACCTTCCACTGCTCATGAGGTATAAGTAAATGATAAAAGAATGTAGCGTTATGCAAGATGATTAAGTTCTAGAGATCTCTGTATAACATAATATTGTGCCTAGAGTTACAATACTGTATTATACACTTAAAAATATGTTAAATGGATAGACCATGTTAAGTATTCCTACTGCAATAATAACAAAAAAGCATATGTTAAGTTAAAGTAGAAATCAATCCACATGCAGTTGAAAAATACAATTCAGCATTCAATCTCAGGCAATAAAATAGGCCTGTATAAGAATGCTTTGTATAGTACCACTGTCTATACGCAAAGGTTATCCATGAGAATTTGAATTTTGTAATTTGTCTTTAACAGCTTAACTCTGAATTCACTTCAAACGTTTGTAAGCCTTCGACTATAATAATCTTATTTAGCAAATTTATCTGAGAAGAACCTTCTTTGATTGAAAAAGAAAATGGATTTTTTCCTCAAGTTTTCTTGGCAGTGTGAGGTAATACTATTATTAATACATAGTACAGGCCACAATTGTACCCTCTCTCGTCGCCGCACACGTGCTGATACAGTTCTATCCAGTGTGTTTCCTGAGGTCAGGTTGCCAGTGGGAGGAAAAGTTGCTGCAGATAAAGAAGAATCATTTGCTTCACCTACTTCAATTCTTTCTGCCACACCAAGTCGAGGAGTAGCAAAGACTATCATGTGACATCCACCACAAGCAACCTACAGCATAAATCCACAGAAAATTAATCAACACTGGCTTCAAACATAAATGAGTTTTTAACTGTTATCAGCTATAAGATATTTACTTAGTGCCAGACTTCCTTGACTGACTTGCTCTCTATACACACACACACTATTATATACACATATGTATTATAATACATAGTGTATGAATTATAATACATATTCTTTAAACACTATGATTGAAAATTATAACAAGTTGAATCTACCATTATACTTTCAATTTAATATAATACAGAGAAAAAAGTACTTGGCACATTACACTTCTCCTTACAAGTTAGAAAATGTTATATTTTAACCTGAGAGCAACATTAAAAACTTGAAAAAATTACTCAGAGAAGTTCTACTGAGAAAAAAATATGACCTAAGAATAAATTAGTCTCTTATGATAATTATGCTTCTAAGCCTCCTTTACATGAGCACTTTCTAAGTTTAATGCTTAAATATCCTTTAGAGAAAAATGTAAGCATGCATATTGATGTAACATGAAACATGGAAACATGGAAAAATGATGGAATATGAAAAAATGAAATCAACATTCAAAGAATTTTGAAAAATAAATGATTTTCAACAAAATGCTATAAAAACATAGCATAGTATTTTTAATACACAGATTCTAACTTTTTTATAGTGTTCTACATGGTGGTGTAAAAATAGCATACCCTGAATCTTTCCTTCATATTTTCAAATTTAAAATTTATATATGTTTTTGTATATCACTTTTTTTCTCAATCATGCATTTTTATTTTATTTATTTATTTTTTCCTGATTGCTTTTCTTTTATTCATGAAGTAGGAGGCAACCTCAATAGCTGAGATTGGTCTGGAGTATGAGAGTAGGAAGTTGAATAGGGAGAAGGACCTGTAAAATGGCCATTTTGGAAAATGGAAAAATAAATTTTCCAGGAAAATATATTAGGATTTAGGCTTTAGGCTTTAGTGTTCTTTCTCAGATGGCTGTTAGGAATTTTTTTATTTTTATTTCAGGGTATTATGAGTGTACAAACATTTTGGTTACATTTTATGTTTCTGCCTCACTCAAGTGAGGGTTAGAGGCATGCCCTTTCCCTCTACAATGCTCGCCATGTCCTTTAGTTGTGAGTTTACACCCCACCATCCCCCTAATCCCTGGAGAATATTACTGCCATGTGAGCACCACAGTGTTAATCAGTTAGTACCAATTTCAAAGCGAGTACAAGTGGAGCCCATTCTTCCGATCTTGTGATACCTCACTTCGGATAACGGGCTCAAGTTCAATCCAGGAAAATATAAGAGGTGCTAGATCATTGTATATCACTTTTTAAAATTATCATCCCCATAAGACTCTAAGCTCAATAAATGAGGACTTGGTCATTTTGTTCATCACTGTATTCAGTACTTTGTATCCCTAATACATAGTATAGTATCTTACACACAGAAGGCTTTCATTAAACGACTGTCGAATCAATAAATGGAAGTGTTCCATAGTATGAGACCCTGAGTCTTAGGAGAACAAATTTCAAGAGATATTATCATCACCAAGTAAACAGAATTTTCAAAAGTCTATAGCTCTTAACAGGCAAAAGTATTAGAAATAATAGAGACACAATGCCTTATGGTGATGTGACACTGAAACAATGTATTTTTATCCCAATAAAATTTAGCCAAAAAACATATCTCAAAACTCTTCATTTATTATCAGAATTTCTCTCGTGCAGATTTGAGAGTCTCCATAACATTTTATTCAACAAATATTTATTGAAGACTACTGTGAGCAAGGTACTCATTGGGCAGGGTGCTACACAAGATACAAAGTTTACAGGCATATCACAGTCTCAGCTTTCAAGAGACATATGAGAATAAAGCAGAAGAGTCAAGATTTGGGCAAAAAGGAAGATGCTAAAGGAGGAAAATCAGGAAAGGGACAGATTTTCAGAGTGGCAAAATGTCTAATATTTAGCTTTGAGGAAACTAGTATATTTATTAAATATATCCATAATATTCTTTCATACAAACATGAAAGTACTTATTTTCTATGAAATACTGAAATACTTAAATAAAAGAATATGAAAATGTAAACAGGGAAATATGATGCCCTTACCAACTGAATTATAAATCTCAAAAACTTAGAGCACAAAGTGGGAACAAACTGATTGGTAAAATTCTCCAGTCCAAGTCCTAATCTTCCATGTCGACCATCTCCAAAAGTATACATAAGTCCTACATCTAAAATGCAAAAAAAAATGAAGAGAATTATAAAAGTGTTACTTGTAAGGATCTATTTGTAAGCAGGCCAATATATTAACTTATTTAATACACTGCAGTTATAATTTCCCCCTCAAATTCTGCATTAAATTTACTCTGATCCATTGATCTTTCCATACTTTCTAAGGTCTCTGTGGTCCTGCATATCAGGCAACAGATATTCTGATAATAAATCACTGAACCTTGGTGGTTTGTGAAGTCGAAGCCCCGTTGTGCAAGGCACTGTGTGGAGCAGCAGCAATACAGCGTAAGATTTTGTGATACACACCATATTCTCAAGGGGAAAGAGATGTTTGTACTCTGACCCGCTACATCCCAATACAATCTGTTTTCTTTTTTCTTGATGCCCTTGATAGATCATAGTTTCTCAACCTTGGCACTATTGATATTTGGGGCCAGATAATTTTTGGTCGTGTGGGTCTGTCCTGTGCACTGTAGGATGTTTAGCAGTATCTCTGGCCTCTACCCACTAAATGCCAGTAGAAAAACCCCCCTCTGCAGATGTGACAATCAAAAATGTCTCCAGACATCGTCATGTGTCTTGTGGGGGGAGAGTGGACACCCAAAATCATCACTACTAGAGAACTACTGGCTTAGATCAATCTAGCTGTCTCTTTTACTAATTTGGCTCTTGGGCTGTGGAATGTTCCTGATGGAAATGCCATAAGCCAACCATGCTAACTAGTTCCTATACCAACATCAGGCTCATGATGATGATGATGAGAAATCTTGTTGTTTCTCTCCAGTTAATCCTTTTGCCCACTGCCATAGCAGCTATTCTGAACCTCTGCTCCTTTCCTAAAGCCCTTCCTTCATACCCTGCATCTCAAGTGGGCTGAGAGGAAAGCAGAAGTAAAGGGTGTTAATATGGTGCAGAGGAGAGGGATTTCCCTCCAGTCTGGGGATTAGGTAAGGCTTTCAAAGCAAAACCTAAAAGATGAGTTGGGTTTAGCTGCAAGAAGAAGGGAGCAAAGAATCTTCCAGACAGAGCGAGCGTACATAGAAAGGCTCTGAATCAAAGAGGAAACATGACCCAGGCAAGAAGCTGAAAGGCAACCAATTCCCCTGAAGCATAAAGAAGACAGTGGTATGAGATGAGTCTAAGGAGGTAAGAAGAAACCATACTACAGAGGGTCCTATTAGTTCAGATTAAGAATTTTAAATTCTATTTTAAAGATAATAAGAAACTGAATGAATAGTTTGAAACTGGGAAATGACTGGATAACATTTGGGGACTTCTGGTTTAAGATGGCAAAGCGGCTGCATGTGAAGCAACTCCAAGAAAATTGAATAAAAATGATTTAAAATAATAATGTAGTTCAGTAAGGTGTCAAGTTCAAAAATTAATTTAAAAAGATTCCCCATAAATAAGTCATAACCTGTGTTTACTCTTTAGAGTTATAATTTCACTATTATGTATTTATTTCTTTTATAAAAACTCCTTATTGCCTTTATCCCTTTTTCCTCCTTCTTTTTGGTCCTGATTTCTTCATCCAAAATGCTTTTTAAGACTTGCCTTTTTTAATTTGATTGTCTTTTGCCTGAAAAAATAAACTCTGATCCAAGTTGCCTGATTATACTTTCAACTTCAGAGAGCTTTTTAAAATATGATCCACTGGCCATAATGTGGAATTGGCAAGAACTTACAGATAACTCACTATATACTTCTTATTAGTCCTGGAGGAAAAAAAATCTGTAACATTTGTCCCCTGGGAAGGACTAATGAGCAAAAAGGCAAACAAAATTAATGTTCAATTATTTGTGCTATAACTCTTTTCATCAGGAGGAAAGGTATTATAAAAATTTAATTAAATAATCTAATTGTATATTAGATGATACATAAAAGCAGTGTGTATTTAACATCAATGGAAATTTAGACCTGATAAAAAATGACAGTAAGGACAGAGAAATTGAGATTAGGACTCCACGATAAGGACTACATATCAATAATTCTTACAGGATGATGAATGAATAATGCTTCTTTACATTCTATGTAATGCTAGTTCATGCTACATTAACGAAAACATCAATGCTTGATAATGGGCAGGTTGTCCTCTCTCAAAGGTCCTTTGGGGAAGAACGAACAGTAATACATTTGCTAATTCCTAGTTTCCCTAACCAGATGCCACTAGATGAAGCTTCATCATAGCAGTAGCTTTTTTAGAAAGAAGGAAAAAAAGTACAAATAGCAGTACCTGGATTATTGCAATATACTAGATTTCTGACTTTTTGACACTTTATTTTTAGCTAGAAATAGTGAAATTACATACAGATCCTTTTGTTACAAAGCATTTAAAATTGCAGACTACATCAATTACATATAAGTAACTCAATCATTTCAGGGGAGAATCTTTATTATGTCCTAGGTTATTAGCAGCACCTAATTTCTGAGGCTGAGAAGTAGGCCCAAAGGAACCTGGATAAGGGAGAAATCAGAGTAGAAGATCTTTGAAGTACCCTCCTGTTTATTATCATGGAATTAGAAGGAAGGAGTCATTCCTGAAAACGCCTCCTGGTGGCAAAAACATAAGAATTTACTCAGCCTGAATGCTCTATCAGATTGAACAGGAAGAATGTTTTAAAAGAAATTCTTTCTTGTGGGATTTTTCCCTCTGGCTTGCGCAGAGTTAAGAGCCTTCGAACTGATACAATTTCAAAAATATTCCAGCTTTCTGCCAAAGTATAATACGACGGTCTTATTTCAGATATCACTGGCCTATTTTGAGGTTCTAAATCTTTGGATCATTTACATTTATTTTAAATTAAGATAATAAAAAGGAGTTTACAACTTTAGACTTCGGGATATTAAACAAGGAATTCCATTTTCTGAGTAATTAATTGCTTTACTTAAGTTAGATACATTCATATCATATATTATTTATTTTATAATAAAATATACCCAATTCTATAAATATATAACAGAAATTCTAATCCATACCTGTTATCAAAGCTGTATGACTTTCTCCACAGGAAATATAACTTATTTTTTGATTCTTAATATTCTCATGCTCAATGACTTTGGGCTCAAAAGTTTCAAAAAGAAAAGTGCCAAGACCCAGCTGACCAAACTGTCCCCGCCCAAACGCATACACAGCTTTCTCTGAAAGGAAGGGGGCAAACAGAAGAAAAGGATTGCATAGAAGCAGACACTGTCACCATCATATCTAGAAAAATTGTGATATTCAACCTTTCATAATGACGGTTAAGTAACTCTGAAAAACTACCCATATAAAAATACATAATACTAAAGTATAAATTTTTTAGTGATGAAGGAAGAGAAAAATGAAAAGGTATACAACTGTAAAAATTATGGCATGGGTCTGTTTTTATCTTTTATACATAACCATAAAAGGAATTGCTGTAAGTAAGCAATAGGTACGACATAAGACACATAAATTGCGGAACTACCTGAAATGGCCCTATAATTACCACCTCAGTTCAAAAAGCATCAATTGGCATTAAGCTAATTCCTTTTACTTTCTCAAATAAAAAAAAAAGTGTTTCCTACAGAAAAACTTATTTTTAAAAGTAGTTTAGTAATCTATTTTATAAAACACAACTTCAGAGAATTGTCTTGAGAATCAAAATGTACAGTAGATACGCTAGATTTATTCACAAATAAAGCTCTTTTACCAGGAAATGCAATAATAATAAGAGGAGGGGGAAAAAAATCTTTCCTCTATACAGATATTTTGGAAGTAATTCCAAAGTACCTCCAATAACTCAGTAAATATTAGCTCATATATTTTCTAGAAATGGAAAAGTACAAAAATAGGATACATGAGTAATGCTCAAAGGGTCTTTTGAGACACACAATCTCCCTAGCTGCCGCAACAGGAAGCGCAGTGTTGATTGCATTAGTCAGTTCTCCTTAGTTCAGTACGTTGACTCTCTCGTACTGTAGGAGGGAGAGCAAGAGCTTAATATTCGTTCTGAAACTGAAACCTTCAGATTACTAGCCATGGCAAGTAGGCAAGTTACTTAGATTGTCTGATGATATAATCCCTGTCTAATAGAGTTGCTGTCAGGATTAAATGAGAAAACATTCAGGCAGATTTGAAAACATAATAATTAGGACATTAAATTGTAAAGAACATTTTCCTAAAAAGTAATTATCAACTCATCTTATTCTGACAATAGGGGGTACTGATGAACACATAACTGCTTATTGTCATGTAGTTTTATATTTTTTCTAATAAGAATGTTTGCTTCATAAATGAGACATATAACTCCTTAAAGAAAATGTGCTGTATCAAGGATATGAAGCCATATTGAAGAAATGAAAAAAGCAGATCCTTATTTTAATATAAAAATCCATTTCTTAGTTTAATTAATAATCACATGGCATATTGCCAGTTCTAAATGTTCAGCTTAATACAATGTTGGGTAAACTAAAACAATTATCTTTCTTTAGCTGACCAAAAATTACTGTAAATTTCTAAGGCTGTCTGATATTAATTAGCTTGAGAAATGAGGCTGTTTAGGCAGCCTGAATCATGTTACAAAAGTTTTGTTCATTATCCTGTTAAAAACGACCTAAGACTTTTTTATCTAAGGATATTACTTATAACAACTAATATAATTTTGGGTCACATCACCTTTGTGACATTAAACAACTGATATAATTTTTGGCCACATCATCTTTGTGACATTTAATTTAATGTTAGTAAATAATACTACATTAGGAAAACAGATTTGATTAGTTGGCTTCAGATCAATATGACTGTAATTTCATAAAATATATTTGACTTCAGAACTAATAACTTAGTGCCCTGTAGAGATCTTAGGTTTGTCCAAACATAATATGGAGAAGTTAAGATAAATTTTCATTTTCCTTGGGACCCAGACTTCACTGTGGACCCCATCTTATAACCAGTCTTTCTTGTCTTTTGGTAACTGCTACGGATGACATACAAGATTATATCTACCACTATGCCTCACTTTAGTGTGTCCCAAGTTGCAGTCTCACACTTTCTCCACAGAAGTCCACTGTTTCCCAAATCCTAAGGAGAAACTACAATCACACCATCACTACAATCAGTTGTATTTTCTAACCTATCATGGTCACGTGCAAATACTATGTCTTAAATAAGTTTATTAGCAATTAACTAATTTGAATTACCTTTAAAATAGTTTAATGAAAGATACCCAAACAGATTTAAAGATTAGAGTTATAGATGCACAGAAAACAAAGGTGGGGAGGTCCCCCATAGAATCATGTAATCCAAGTCCTTTGCTTTAGTGCAGGGAATGATCTAGAATGGAAGATTAGCTTTTCTATCCTTAAGGCCTTGCAAAGTACTACATAACTCTCTTAATAATCCAATTTAGCATTTAGTCAAACTGATGATCAATGTACTCTTCAGGCCCATTTCTTCATCAGCTAGGACTAAATATTTAATATTTCTATCTACACTGTGTTCCAGAATACATCAAGGCTAGCTCATACTAAAGCTCTCACAGTTCCATGGAGAAATGTGAAAAATAGGCAAAGCAGTAAATTTTCCACAAAGATGAAGTTATCCTATTTAAGGAGGTATCCTTTACTATATAATTAAGAGCTTTTTATTTTTGTTTGGAAAATGTCCCTTATTTTATGATATGATAGTGAAAACAGTCATTTTTTTCAATGTCCATATTTAGGCAAATGTAAATCAGAAGTTGGCAAACATCTCTTGGATCTCATAGTTTTTTTAACTCAAATTTTAGATTCTTCTTTGGAGTAAAACAAGCTCTTCACTGTTTACGAAGTTACTTATGAATTACAAAAATTATCTCTGTTTTTCCCTGTATTATCAAATTTTTCTCCTGTATTCCCCCATTCAATCTTGGCTGCTACAATCAGACAGACAGGAAGTACAAGGATACTCTTTTCTTGCATCTGTGGTAGAAACCTTAGCAGCAGACAGCAACTGCTCCAGGTCTGTCAAATAGATGCATCACATAATTTTTTTAAAAAAGCAAACTTCATTGGTGTGTGAGATCCCAATGTCTGCAAAAATCTGGAGAGAGCTATCAATTTCTAAAAACTGGATTTTGAACCTCAAAACAAAGTCCACAGAAAGCTAAATGTCATGAATACTGTAAAAAATCATATTTATGTACATTTTTTTAATTTTAAGTATAATTAAAAGTATCATGGATTATCTTCTTGCTCACTTGATATGAAAATATTTTATAATATATGGTTGACTGACTTACTATGTAATCAACACATGTGTCCTTCAGGGTAACCTTGAATAAATTATTTCCATAATCTTTATATAAACTAGAAGAAATGCATAACACATAAAGAGTAAGTTGTGTTTCTGCCTATAGAATGAATTTTCAGATAATGTATGAGGATTAATTTCAAAGTTTAATTTCTAGAATAAATCTTTTTATATGAAATTATATGAAAATTCATTTTTCATCAGCAAGAATTCAGAAAAATCCTAAACTTCAGAATGATTTTTAAATTTAGAGTGGAGGTTATGAAAAAAATTATTTCTAACTTGGAAAAGATTCCATCTGGAAACTATAATTCTGGGAAACCAAAGCTTAATAAGCATGACTGGGACTAGAACAGGACATCAAGGAAAATCAGACGGAAAATCTAAAGATAAAATATTATTCGCTCACCTTATAACATTAAGCATATCATCTGAGAACTAGATATCGCTCAATTTTTTTTTCAGTTCAATGAGCTTTGGCAAATGCATACATCCATGTATTCATCACCACAATCAAAATATAGAACACTTTCATCACCCCGAACGGTCCCCTATGCCGCTTTCAAATCAATCCTCACTCCATCGTCACGCCCCAGGCAACTAATGTTCTGCTTTCTGACACTATGAATTCGATTTGTTTTTCCTTGAATTTCGTAACAATGGAATTGTACAATATGCCTGGCTTCAAATATCATCTAGAACACTTCTAACTTTGGGTTACTCAAGATTAAGTGGTGACTTCAGAAACTGTTAATTTCTTTTTGAGTGAAAAATAGCATCGTAAAAATTCACCACCTAACTGCATTACCTCTATATTACTCATCTAAAATAAATCTAATGCTGAACAAATTTGGAAGCATAAATTAATAAGCATTAGCAAGTAGTGAGTATATTCCAATATAGTGATTAGAATCCTGAGAAAGGACATGTCATAACAAACATTAAATTCATAAGACAAAAGTGACATTACTATTAAGGTTCTTTATTTTATTATCTGTAATTTATAACCTTACCACTTTTTAATGAATTATTGTAACAGAACATAAAATCACAAAGAAATTCCCAAATTATACATTGTGAATATCACAAAGAAAAGAATTATCAAGGACATGTAGAAAACAGCATGAACAGGGAGCTTCTCCAAAAATGGTATTTCAGGAAAAGTGTCAACTTTAGATAAATATGGAATACACATATATGAGGAAAACAGTTTTTTCTTGATAATGAGCTAAAATGTAATATACTGCCATTAAATGTGTTAAGGTCATGAAAATGTCAAATGCATTAGCAGAAACAATTCAAAGAGATTCATTTTTTTCTACCTAAAAAAATTCTTTCATAGACCAGAAATGTGTATAAACTATAGGAATAAAAGGTGGGGATCTTAAGGAAAAGAGATGAAAGGCCAACTTATATGAGGTATCTAAGAGAGTCAAAATTATAAAAGCTAAGAATAGAATGGTGGGTGTCAGGGACTGGGGGGAGGGGGGGAAGGGAGTTGAGGTACAATGGGCACAGAGTTTCAGTTATGCAAGGTAAGTTTTAGAGATCTGCTGTACAAGGTTGTGTCTTATATATAACAATACTATATTACACATTTAAAAATCCATTAAGAGGGTAGATCTCATATTAACTGTTCTTACCACAATAAAAAAAATGAACATTAAAAAAATTTCATTAGCTACCACAGAAAGCAGGGGACAGAGCATCAGGCTCCACGCATACCTGTGAGAACCACGGTGTGTCCTCCACCACAAGCTACTTGGAGCACCTTCTCGGGAATTCCAGACACCAGTTGGGGTGTTCTGTAATTGGTCAGCAGCTCACTGGGAAGACCTAATTTCCCACCTTCAGGTTCTCCAAATGTGTACAGTTCACCATCCACTATTGAAGGAGAAGTATAGTGATCAATGATGACATAAATATGAATAAAATACTGGCCTTTTTGGTTGATGTTCTCACATTCAATAAAAAATTTCAACAATGAACTTAATAAATTTGTCCTTTCTTAAGATATTTTTACTGTATGGTAAGAAAATAAAGATTTTCTTTTCCCCTTGATTATTTTAATTCAATAACCTTCATGAAGAATTCATGACTGTCATTACTAATAAACAACTAGAGAATCATTTTAGCTCTTTCACAAAACATAGTAAAGACTATCTTGCATCTTCTACTCACTTTTAATAAAGCAAAATGACTAGATATTAAGCTCCCATAAGGACACAGATTTTTTCTTCCTCACTATGGTATTCCCAAAACCTAGCAGAATGTCTAGAACAAGCACTAAATGAATACTTGTTGAATAAACAAATGAATTATTGCTTTTTATGAAACTTGTTTTTAGAAAACTCACTTAAGTGTGAAGTAAATAACTTGAATAACTCTTAAGATAGCAGATTTTACCCATTTACATGGCACTTCCTCCAGACAGACTCTCTTATCAAGGAGCACCTAATCAATGCCTTGTCCATAGTAACACTATTGATTTGCTTCTTTATTAAATTTATTGTAAATAAATATTGTATACAATTTATACAATAAATATTATATACAATTTATAACATGAACTTGAATTGAGAACACAAACACGAGCATTCAAACACACTAGTAGGTTAAAAAATCTGTATGAAGTCTTAAACATGACTATCTCAGTAACATGTTCTGCATTTTTATTAAGACTTAAAATGTTCTTTTTTAGTCTCCAAACTTGACATACAGAGAAAAATGTAATAGTCCTTTTCTACATAACATTTCTGTCATGAAATATATAGTAAGTAAAACCCCTTAAGCTTGAGTTATTTCTAAAATTTATAAAAAGTTGCTTTAAATGTTTAGTCATAAAACAATGGCTAATGTGAAAATTACTGCAGTACATATCTGATGTAAATGAATCCCAGCAAAATGTTTAGTATAAAAGTTCACTATATGAATAAACCTGTTAACATATTTTAAAAAATCCAATTTTAAATGGATGAACTATAGAATATGTGAATTTTATCTCAATAAAGCTGCTTTTTTTAAAAAAAAAAAAGCATAAAAACAAAAAAGCTCAATGTACCACACCTATGGGTTAAGATGAACAATTCCACTTGTTCCTGTAATGGCTAAAGCAGAGTTAATTAATAAAATTGATTCCGGCAGTTTTCTTAAATCGCAAATATGAAACAATACTTTTGTGGGGTTTTTGTTTGGTTTGTTTATTTTTCTATTTGTGTTTTTTTCCTGTTTTTTGTTTGTTTGTTTCATTAACAAAGTGAGTACAGACTATACCAACCCCAGGAGCCATAAAGTTGCCAATAAGTTTGTAGCTGGTATTGGCCCAAGGAATGCAATCACTTAATCATTCATTCACTGGCTCACTCATTCAACAATATTTATTGATTAGCAGTTTGTTCAAGATACCAGGGATACAGTGGTGAACAATTCCAACAAAGTTGGGTTTGACCTCCTTGGTATCATGCTGCTACCAATTCATTGGTAACTCTGGGGGACAGTGGGATGAGTCAATTGGCACCTTCTAACCCTGAATCTCTGGTGCATGAAATGAAGAGTAAATGTATAAAATAAACATTTAGAGAGATGTCTAAGAGGGTCCACGAAACTATTTCCTCTAGGTGCTTTTACTGTTAAAAAAATCAATTAGATAGCCATAATCATACTTCTCCTATTATTACTAGTATAGATATAGACTATAACAGAGTCCAATATTTCAGATATTTTAACTAAGGTAGAAAAGGTTACCATTGGGTCCAGGAAAGGGAGAAATTGGATGTGGTGAGAAAAATTCCACCAAAGGCAATCAGATCATACTGAGCTCTCTTTCTTTTTCATCTAGTTTTCATCCTGGCTCCCAAAATAAAACCTTATGACTCACTTCTTGAAACAATAAAAGAAATAATCAGGACAACAAGAGTATAGTAGGTCAAAGTATAGAGGCAAGTGGGTCCAAAGGAAAGTGGCCCCTAGGTCTTTGGCATTTTTAATGCCAAAAGGTCAAAGAAGTTTGAGAACCAAAATTTAGAAGAATTTCTAACATATCAATTTTGTTTTTCCTTTAGACCTAATATTCACTTAAAAAGTTAACATGTCACAGAGAGTTTGAAATTACAAACTCTCATTACAGAAATGGAGAAATACTATGCCCTAAAACAGGCCAAAACCATTTCATTATATGAACAACCATGGCATTAGTTCTATATAACTGTAGAATGTTATATCATTTTATTATTAATTTAGTAATAAAACAGAAATGGAAGATAACAAGATAAATCCAAAATGTTGTCTTACTTGTTACAAAAGCTGAATGGTAATATCCACATGAGATCCAGGAGATAGGTTTCCCAATGGTCACTTGATGAGGGACACATACATTAGGTATATCTTTTAAACCAATTTGCCCTTCAGAATTCTCACCCCACATAAAAAGTTGTCCATCCTCTATAAAGAAAACACAAGGAGGAGAAAGGTTTTAAAAGGTAGCAGGGCTCTCAAGCTATTTTAGCTTCCAACACACCATATGTTTGTTTGCTTTTTTTAATGTAGAAAAGCTATGTGTCTAGACAGAAAAGCACTATTAAGACATTTATACCATGTAGCTACTTAGGAGTTCAATTTCTATTGTGAAATGTTTCTATAATGATAAAGAACAGACAATAGCCTGACTGTAAATCATGTTAGTCATGTCCATATTTTTATCTCAATAGCAAAGACAGAATGCTCTTTCCTATGATCACATTTTTTCATTCCAATGTTTCTAAACAGAAATATTCTTCTTCTTCCAAGCAGTCTACTTGCAACTGAACTGAGAGACAACATAGGTCACACTAGACATCTCCAGGTCAAAAGGGCCTGGAAGACCTTGCTCTTGAGAGCACTGTGGGAATGATGTTTTAAAAAAAGAAAAAGAGAAAATAAATGTATTTCTCTAACTTCTTTTTCTTATAATTTACACCTGAAAACACAGAATCTACCTTCAGAGAATAAGGATATAACAGCATGTATAGCATTTCAAAAATAGGTTAACTTATGTCATTTCTGATAAGGGTTTTGATGTCAGAAAAAGTTAATCTAGGAAAAATATTTTAGAAAGGAATCATCAAGACTTATTTACTTATATATTTTAATTAATTTGAAAAATTTTAACCTTTGAAGTGGTTTAATAAGGCCAATAAAATGATAATTGAAAAATAAGAACTGAAAGAAGGATGTCAAAATGCTAACTATATGGTTGACAAAATTTAAGGAACAGAGCTTCAGATATGACTCTGACTTTCCTAACAGAGCAACACCAGAGGTTACAGTCTCCTGCTTGGAACAAAGTAGGTGACCGTAGCTTCAGTGCTCTTGGTCTGCTTCAAGCTGATCTTGGCTCCAAATTTTTAAGAAACTTCCCACCTGGGCTTTTGATAGGGAGGGCAAAGAGAGGCAATGATTGTTACAAATCATTTTTTAACAACATATGTTGCAACATATTTCTATGGATGTTTCTAACAGCAACTTCAGTTAAAGCTCCACGCATAACTTTAAGAGCACACAATGAAGATAAAACATAGTAATATCTAAAGGAATAGATGGACAGCACAGCTTAGAATTTATTTACCAATTACTTTTTAAATGTACATTTACACCTAACTCTAAATAAGCATGAAATTACAATATTATGTCAAGATTTAAAGTTATATTTTAAATGTCTTCTGAAAGCACATAGTCAATGAAAGAAAACTAAATAGCAGTGCTGTCCTGAGTTTACTGAGTTCGTACATCCTGGTCTAAAGGAAAGGGATGTGTCCCAGATTGAAATGGAAACAAGTCTTACCAGTTAGTGCAGCTGAAGTATTAGATCCAGCAGAGAGCTGTTTAATCATATGCTGGGATGTAAAAAAGCTGATCAGATGAAAAGTATCTCTTTCTTCTGTGTCACCAAGTCCCAACTGTCCCTCGTTATTTCCTCCAGCTGCATATAGAGTGCCTCCTTCTGCACACAGAACAGAAAATATCAATACACTATAGTCATCTTCTTCATGAGACAGGTCAGTGTACACCAGCTATTTCCTCTATTAACAGTGAAGGCTGGGCGCGGTGGCTCACGCCTGTAATCCTAGCACTCCGGGAGGCCGAGGCGGGCAGATTGTTTGAGCTCAGGAGTTCGAAACCAGCCTGAGCAAGAGCGAGACCCCGTCTCTACTAAAAATAGAAAGAAATTAATCGAACAACTAAAAATATATAGAAAAAATTAGCCGGGCATGATGGCACATGCCTGTAGTCCCAGCTACTCGGGAGGCTGAGGCAGTAGGATCGCTTGAGCCCAGGAGTTTGAGGTTGCTGTGAGCTAGGCTGACGCCACGGCACTCACTCTAGCCTGGGCAACAGAGTGAGACTCTGTCTCAAAAAAAAAAAAACAGTGAAGAAAATTGAAAGCTATCATTATCCTATTATTTGGTGTACAACTTCATTTTGCTGTCAAAAATAAAGCAAAACAATCAAGGCCTTACATTTTTGTGAGATTTTATAAATCATTCTAGAGTTTAACCAGCAATTGAAATGCAAAGAATCTATGAAATGTATTTCCTTGCTAATATAGCACTTTATTAATTCAGAGTAAAAATGATGAAAGTAACTCCAAATTAGTTTAAAATGCAAATAGAACTATTTTAAGAGATGTGGTTCATTAATTTTAACTTCTGTACCCATTAAAGCTAAGATATACAACAGTACAAATAAATAAAATGAGGCAAATCCAAGAATAATAATATATTAGAAACATGCTAATTCTATGTTGTATAATTATTTTAACTTTCTATCTAAATAGGAGGGGGCGGGGTATAGCACTGTGGTTAGGAAGAAAGACTCCAGAGCCAGACTGCCTGGGTGCAAATTCTGGCTTGCCACTTACCAGCCGTGGGACCTTGAGCAAGCTGTACGTAACCTTTCTGTGCCTCATTTTACTCATCTATAAAATGGGGATAATAGTACCTACTTCATGAAGATTAAATTAGCTGACATTTGTAAAATTCTTAGAATAACATTTGGATAATTGTAAAGCATATATAAATGCTAATTACTCTCTTAAATAAAAAGTACATCATGCCTAGATTATAAACATATCTAGTAAGCTCTAAATCAATGAAAATTTTTAACAGACATATATCAAATTAGTTATATATCTCATAAAAATACACATGAAGTTAAAGCCTTACTAAATTATGAGGGAGAAATGAAGGAAAAATCAGTCTGAATCAGTGAAAATTTAAAATTAGATTTTTTAAATAGAAAAAATGAAATCTAATTGAGGAAACAAGCTAATTTAACACATATGGAACAAACCAGAGTTGGTGAAATGCTAAAATAATTCAGAGAAGTAGATGAGTAAAAAGTTGAAAAGTCATAAAATGTTCCATGGAAGACATACAACGTATATGGGGTCTCAAAAGATAAAAATATGAAAAGGTAAGAGAAAGACAAAAGATATTTCAGAAAGGGAAAATTATGAAGAGGTGAGAGGAGGTTGATCATGTACATATGGGTCTACTTCTGGACTCTATTCTGTTCCATTAATCTTTGTCTATCTTTTTACCAATAACACACTGTCTCAATTATGGTAGATTTATAGTAGGTCTTGAAATCAGGTAGTGCCAGTCCCTAATTTTGTTCTTTTTCAAAATTGTTTTGGCTATTTTATGTCCTTTGCTTTTTCACATACATTTTAGAAGTACTTTGTCAATTTCTACAAATGCACTCACGCACGTGCACATGCACGCACACACACACAGCCTGTTTAGATTTTGATTGGAATTGTGCTCACTCATACCAATAGCCTTTTGGATGGCTTCCATTCACCCTCAGTAAGGAAAAGGGAAGAGCAAGAACAGAAACCACCAGCCCTTGAGGTGCGCACACAGGTAAGGAGATGCCGTCCCTTGATATAATCCAAGAAAAACAGCCTTTTCTTCAACCATTTAACATTTATCTGCATATTTGCAAAGGCAAAGGAGTGTACTAACAAATTACATTTTTAAAAACCATAATCTTACTGTCGCCAAGGTACAATTTCTATTAGTGTTACACAGCTACATGTTACTGGAGTGAGACCTCAGTTCTCAAAATTGGGCAGGAAATCATAGGCTGAATACCATACCTGTTAAAATTAGGGTATGGTTCCTTCCACAGGCAGCAATTCTCACTTTTGCAGGTTTTAGAGCTAAAAACATAAAAATTCAACAATTAAAGTATTATATGGTAATGGATCAATAATCCAGGTCAAATGGTAACTTAGTGGTAGAAATGAGATTTAAAAGCAGATACATATGATTACAAAGTCGACGTTCTTAACTATTAAACCAGAGGTTTTGAGAACTGATCATGCATCATAATAACCAGTGAACTTTGAAAACAATACAGATAGCTGAGTTCCATCCCTGGAGAATCTGAGTCAGTGTCTAGATCCGTTGCATTGTAATATGCTGCCTCCTCACCAACCTGATCCATAAACCTAACCTGCTATCACCATTATCAAGCTCACCTTCCACCACACTCAATGAAAAACTGTAACACAAATATTCATAGGCATACACCTATGTTAAAGTTGTTCATTCATTCATCTACATATTAAAAAAACATTTCAAAAACATCTCCTAAGTGCTTGGCATAAGGGCTACAAAGATGACTAAGATAGAGTCCCTATTCTCAAGGATCTCATAGCCTAGACAATTCTGTTAGTTTGTTTATTAGATATGATATTTGAGAGTAAAGATCATGGTCACTGTGACTACTCCTAAGCGTTTAGTAGACTGTGCCTAATAAATACTTTTTGATCTCATGGAAGACTTTAAAAGCCCCATAACAACACCTATAAATAGCATGAATAGCACAAGCTACACTGAAATTTTGAGCCGAAATTTAAAATTTGGCCAAGACGATAAAGAATAATACTCTTATCAGATCTTAAGGAATCTCCATCACCCTTTCAAGTTTAGTTGGTGTTCACAGGTTATACCCAAACGGAGGATTTCCATATAACAATGAGAAAGCTTTGTAAGGGTACGGTACATCCAGTACTTTCCAGAACAGTCCTGATTTCAAATATTTTGTCCTGTTGTTCTTTTACACTGGCATTAATCAACCCTTAGTCTCAATGTTTTGTTCAATTCATCTGCTCACTATATATAGCAGGATAAGTATGTTTTATAAAACTAGCAACTAAATAGAACCAGCATGTCCATAACTGTACTAAATGAGACAGCTCAAAGTTCTAACACATAATAATGTTTGTTTTCTGTACACACAATAACAGTAATATTTAAGTAGTTTTACAAACAAGCCAAAAAAGGATGTTTAAATGCAATACTGTAGAATTGTTACTTCCTTTGTGGTCCCCGGTTTAAAATCAATGTGACTTTTAGACCTAACATATGAAAGTAGTTCTGAATACCATATAAAAATAAGCTAAATGCTAATGATATTCAAGAAAATGTCAGAAAATAAAGAACTAAAGGCTGTATTATTTATGACACTAAAGAACTACACAATCAATATAAAAGTACTTTATGTAGTTTAAGTATTTAAGTGATAAAGAAGACAAGACTCCAAACCTTTGACACATGTTGGCTTGCTGACAGCTGACTTGGATCCTAATCCTAATTGACCCCAGTTGTTACTGCCAAACATGTAAAGTTTACTATTTCCTGGTAGGAGGGAAACAGAAATAATAAATTGCAGCATTTTTCACATAATATGTGACCTCATAAGATGAGGTCATCACAAAGCAATAAAAAACTATACTTAAAAAATGTCATTGCTTTCTATGTTGAAACAGTTTACCTTGTCTATGTATAACCAGATGCTATTAGTTGTAAAAAAGTTTCTAAGATTATACAGTAAGTTTGTTAAAAAATATATTGAAATATATTTATTCCAAGAAAGTTTTATGTATAGAAAATATACATAAATATACTAGGGAAACTTAAAATTTAAAACACTCTCTTGATGAATCAATTTGTGAAGAATTCTCTGGAAAAGTAAAAAAGAACACTTTTATATATCTTCAACGTGTTTAAAACACAGCATATGTATAGTATTTAGGATTCTCTAAGTATTACTCTCCTCGTTTAGGATTGTAATACTAACCTGTAACAATAGCAGTGTGTTCATCTCCACATGAAAGATACATAGGTGTGTCATCACCTTTAAACCAGAATTTGTTGGGAAAATTTTCAGCAAATTTAGTTTTTCCAAATGTAAACACAGCACCTGAATCTGCAAATATAAGATGGTTTCTATTTAACAACTTTTACTATGTTGCCTGTTATTAAAATACTTTTTCGGTAATTGATCCATACAAACCCCTTGTCTCATGACAGCTTTGCCTCCACTGTGGCAATGTTTAAGCCCTCTTCCTTCCACCTTAGTTCAGTCTTACTTATCAGACTTCATTCTAGTTTGATACATGAAATCTGCTTAATTGAACACACATTATTCATTTACTGGTATAAAGTAAGAAATATACTATCACAAAGAAGGTAGTCATTTATTACTAATAGTTCTGCAGTCACCAAGTGGGCATCTATTCCCCCGAATGAACAGGTACAATTCATGTCCTACTTCCCCTGGTTAACACCTTGTGGTCCGGCCCCCGACTGAGGGCTTTTCTCCACACACAGAAACAGGAGAGTATTGAGTTTCTTCATTAGAGTCATCAGGATATCCATGGGGAAGGGCTATATAAGCCAGTTTGGATTTTATCTGATCCTGTTTTTCCAAGGAATCTCTAGTGTTCTCATGCAAGGGAAGAAATATTACCCCAAAAGGTGAACTCTTAATTTTAACTTCTCTATTGGTAATCTCAATCAATACCCATAAAACCAAAGGCAGGACAGACAGAAACAAGTCATTCAAACACTACCTCTTTCACTTGCATTATGAAAAGTCAGCTGGAAAAAAAAAACTAGGCTTTAAAGACAATTATATATTCAAATTATCACATGCTCATAATTAGCTAGGTGATCCTGAACACTTCACTAAGCCTTGGATTCCTCTTCAATAGCTATGCTCTTTATTAGGATGGGGTATAAGGAACAGTATTTCTTTTTATATACCCTTAGCACAGGTACAAACCCAGAGGTTGGCTGAATAATTGTACAATGTGTTGACAACTGTATAAACACAGGGCTGTAACAATCTCATAGGGTTAAATGAGATGACACACATAAAGAACCTAGTACAGAGCCTAGCATCCCCAACACACTAGCTCCTATACAGCCATCTCTGTAAACCCTTCCTCTACTATAAGAGTTGGAAATGATCATTGGCTGCTCTGAACTATTTGATCTGTAGAGTTTACATGGCAATTAATAATGTACTACCTAGGAATCTCTCTAATTAAACTGTTACACAAATCTTTTTGTTGATCGATATTTTGTTTTCTCAACTATATTCTAAGGTTACCAAGACTGTAGTAGACTCTCCACACTACCCACATTGCCTAGGACAAAGTAGCACTTCAATAAACGCCAATTATTTTTATTTTTAAGTCTGTTCTACTTTTTACATAGAAAAGTTCCCACTTAACACACACATATATTCATAACTGTTTTCAGGTCATCATAATGGTGAGTAGGCTGTCAAATATAACTTTCAAGACTTTTAATGTAAAAGACACCAGATTACCCAAGTCTTCAACGGAGAAGCATTTCAGCTTTTCCTGACATTTCTACTGAGGAGAATTCAGAATGTTTAAAGATCAAGTATAAAATTAAAGGATCCTCTCAATAGAGCTACTCAGGAAGTTTCTAATTTTTATCTTACTCATCTACTACAGCTAGTTATAGAGATGTCTTTTTCTCTCTCCATAAGCACTGCATGGGAAAAGATGGTTTATCTTGTCCCTCAAAACACCATCACAAAATGCCACATTCCTAGGAGCCTGGGAAGGAGGCTGTAGAGGAATGTTGAGATTTAACATTCCTAAATTAAGTCATTACCTGATTTGAGTAGTATTCACAAACTGATTTGGTCCTGTACCACTTTGAGGAGAGACCAAAACCACTACCAGTTCCCAATAACCATTTAAATACATGCATACACCAAATAGGAGACTGTGTCCAGGCTTCTGAGGAAATCCCAAGGAGGATGATCATGTATGAAGAAAGTAATCAATACCAGAAATGAAAACATAGCAAATATAAGTATTAAAAATAAATATTATCATACAAGCGACTAGCCACTATGGACAACCTTTTGAGAACCATTGTGAGGCATCTCAGTTCCAAATAATAATTGGAAGTTGGGAGGCCAGGACCTAGAACAGACTGGATTTCCCCAGAATCAATCATTTTAACTGTTTTGTTCTGGCTCCCCAGGAAACCTTCCCTGATACCCTCACCCCAAGCCAGGGGTTGGTGGCTCTGCCCTGGCCCCAAGGCATCTACTATCAAACTGTATAATCATTTTGTTTACTTTCTTGTATCTCTCACTAAACCGTTAACTCTAGGAGGCCAGGAATTAATTGTATTCCAGCTAGAAGCATGAAAGAAAACATACATATTTCAGTGAAGGTATGACTGTGTTCAAATCTAGTGTTTTTTTTTTTTTAAATGTTGGTCATGATCAATTAGTGAGTCAGAAAATTAATTTAGTCGATCATGATCAGCATTTTTAAAGGAACATATTACAGAAAAGTTCTGAGCACATACCGAGTGTTTAGAACAAGCACTGCTTCATGAAATTATTTCTTTTCTTTATTTTTCTTTTCGATAGGGTCTTACTCTCACCCAGGCTGGAGTGTAGTGGCCTGATCATGGCTCATTGCAGCCTCCAACTCCTGGGCTCAAGAGATCTTCCCGCCTCAGCCTCCTCAGTATCTGGGACTACGGGTGCCGGCCACCACACTCGGCTAATTTCTTTAAAAGTTTTTTTATAGAGATGGCGTCTCGCTATGTCGCCCACGCTGGTGTCAAACTCCCTCAAGCGATCCTCCCGCCTCAGCCTCCCAAAGAGAAACGTCTATTTCCGTTACACAGTACGTATGTGGTACCAGGTCACGATGTCAAATGTATTTGTAACTATGGAGCTCAGGGGAAAAAGTTTAAAAAAAAATCGCTAAAGGTTCCATCTTCTCCCCTTTCCCCAGTTCGTTTCCTCCCTTCCCTTTTACCCCACATCCCCTGGTCACCCACTCTTTACTACATTCAATACATAAATGGGTCCTGGGGATCTTCAACGTGCACAAGTCTGCAGTAATTTGGGAAGTTTACAGGGAGGTAAAAAGTGCCCCTGCCTTCGAGAAACTCATCCATCCAAAGCTTATTTTAAAAGAAGAAGACAGACAGGCACCCCGTTCCCCGTCGTCCCGTCCCGCCCTTGTCGTCCTCTCCCCTCAGTATTCGCGGGGGCGCGGCCAGAGCTCCAGCCACAGTTGAGCCGCCATGACTCGGGCCTGTCCCCCGACGGGGCCGGCCCGGAGGCGGGGCCTGGCCGCTCGCCCGCCCGCGGACCCTCCCTCCCGGCCCGCCGCCACCGCCGCGGGCGCGACTCACCGGGCACAGGTTCCTCCGGCTCCTCCATGTCTAGGGCGCTAAGGGAAGCCAGTTCTGGGGCTAGGACTGTTGAGGAGTTGACTAGGTAGAGCCTAGAGGAGCGCCTCAGGGGGAACGCATGCCGCAAAAACCCCCCAATCCCCTATCGCTTCGCTCCGGACATTGGCTACTATCGCGTTCCCGGAAGTCAACAAACAGCCGCTAGGGGCAACGGAGGCGGAGCGTTGGGGCGCGAGGCAGAGCGGACGCCTGGGGCAGGGAGCGGAGGCCGGGCAGCCGTTATGGCGCAGGCGCAGACGCAACAGGTGAGGCGGTAGAGACCGCGCGCCCTCTACCGGCTCGGAGGAGAGGGGCGAAGCGCGCAGGCTTGTGCTAGCGAGATCCCAGTGCCGCTGGGAACCCGCCCCGGTAGCGACAAACGTCACAAATCTTCGATGCTTTCACTAGAGCTATGTGATATAAGCAAACGTCGACACACAGTTATGACAGTACTAGTTTTGTGTAACATTAAATGAGTTAGGCAGTATGCTAAAAGCTTTTTTTCTTTTTTTTTTTTTTACTTAGCTTTCACTTAAAAACCAATGCTTTACATCCTAAATGTTATTTGTATCCCCGGCATCTAAACCAAGATCTGTCATATATTAGATGCTTATTAAATATTTATTGAATGAATGAGTACTATTACAACCCTGTAAGGTGGTTAATGTCGCCCCTGTTCACAGATGTGAAGATAATACAATGGGAGAGCTGGAGTCTAGCCTGTAGTGCGCAGGAAGAAAAAGCTGAGGTGTATTTGTCTGCTCTTCACGGGAATATACACAAAGGGATTCACCAACAGCCCCACATCATTGCTTTAGAATTTCCTCAGCGATGTTATATTTTCCTACTCAGACCTTGGTTTCCCATGCATCAATAATACTTGGCCATCATAAAATAAAGAGGCAAAAAGCCATCTTCCAGGATGGGTAGATTTATGTGCGTGCAGCAGTTGTGGGCATGGGCTCTAGAGCCAGACAAAGCTGGATTCAAGGATCCCTGAATTACTTGTGTGTACTACAGTGTGTTCCCAACTCTTTCTGAGGAAGTTCGCATTAAAGTGGAGAGGGGAGATTAAACTACCCATTACACAAATAATCATTTACTTACAAAGCAAAGTGGGGGTTACTAACAAAGTATTTAACAAGGAGCATTGACCAGGTGTAGGAGGCTAAGAAAGGCTTATCTGAAGAAAAGACATTAAATCTAAGAATTGAAAAGGGAGAAGCTGGGAGGGGTGAGAGAGCTCTGGACAGAGAGTAAATTGTGTGTAAAAGCTCATAGGGAGCTTGGCTCTTTCTAGTAACTCAAAGAGGCGAGGCTGGTTCCTGGCAAGGAGGCAGGGTCTTGGACTTGTTAAGGATCTGAGATTTTATTCTAAGGATAGTGGGAAACCACGGAGAGGTTTTAAGCAGTGGAGTGACAGGACAGGATCAGTTATATGTGTTCCTGAAATCATTCTGCCTGGCCTGGCTGCTTTGTGGAGAATAAATTGGAGCAGTGAGGAGGGTTCAGAGGCTATTGCAGAATTTCAGATAAGTGGTCATGGTGGTTTCGAGTACAGTTCCTTGGTACCAGAGAGGAGCAGGCAGATTTGAAAATATTTTAGTGATAGAATCAACAGGAGATGGTGTCTGATTATTGACCTCTAGACAGTGCTGCACTACCAAATAGCTCTTAGAGCAACAAAAAAGAAGTGTCCCTAAATTATTTTGAAAAGGATTTGATATTCATTTTAAAAGCATCATAATTGTCACTACGGGGAAAATGAGAATTTTTATTTATTTATTTAAATATTTTAAAGCCTACAGCACCCAGTCTTCCCAGGCAGCCTCCCATCCAAGTGCTAACCACGCCCAACGCTGCTTAGCTTCACGAGATCAGACAAGATCAGGCACATTCAGAATGGTATGGCTGTAGACAAAATGAGAATTTTTAAAGATTTACTTTAGTTATGATATGCTTTGATTTGTGTTTATTTCAAAATACAGTGAAGCGCATTTTCATGCTGAGCACCCCCAAAGGTATCGATGCAGCCCTACTCTCAGGTTTCCAACATAAACAAATAGGAGGAGGATGGCGCCATTTACTAAGATGGGGAACACTGAGGAAGGAACAGATGAGGCTGGAGTTACGTAGATGGGGTGAGGAGAGCATGATGAGTTCAGCCTTGAGCACACTAAGACATCAAAGTGGAGGTGCTGAGCAGAAGCCCCAGATGAAGACACATATTTAGGGGATGCCTGAGTCTATGTAGTGGTGTTAGCAGGCTTCAGAACAGGTGAAAGACTGGAAAGTGACTATAGAATGAGAAGACAAAAGAGGTTATGATGGGTAGTGAAGAATGCCAAAATTTAATGGCCCAGTGAAAGATGATCAAGCTGAAATGGAGAGAGAGAGTGACCAGAGAGGGAGAGCCTATGGAACGGTGTTTCAACAAGAGGGTGTAATCAATTGGGTCACAGAATGCAGAGAAATTAAATATGGTGAAAATAAAACACCTGCTGAATTTAGCAATGACGTGATCATTAGCGGTGTTGAAAAGAGCCATTTGGTGGAGTGCTGGCAGAAGAAACAATATTGGAGTAATTAGAGAGTGGGAGAAGCTGAGGGAACAAAATGAGGGTGAAACCTTTAAAGACGGCATAGGAGGGGAGGGGCAACTGTCATTGGAGGGGGAAGTGAGGTGGATAGAGAGCTTAGTTAAGCTTGAAGAGACTTGAGAATGCTGAGGGGCCAAATTGAATAGATGGGGAGGGAATGCAGATCCCAGAGAGTGAAGGAATAATCGATAATGTAAGGCAGGAAGAGATGGCATCCAAACCACATGTGGACGGACTGGCCTTAGCTAAAAGGAGAGAAAACACTTCTAGCATAACAGGAGGAGAGGAAGAATGGCCACCTTTGACAATATACTATTGATACATGCGATGCATCTGTATCTCTATATACATGATGTCCATATACTATTGGGATATATGATTAGAGCTATATCATATATATGTATATAGAGCTATGCTATAGCCCTAGAGTGTATATATCATATAATATATGATAATACTATCATCTATCTCAGAAGGTTATTGTGAGATATTAGGTAATGCATGTAAAACTTACAGCTTGGCGCCTGGAATAGTGTAGCACTCAGTACTGTTGGCTATTATTAATAAGGCAGAGTCAGCTGTGCTCACTGTATTAGCACAATCCATGCTATACTGTAATGCAAACAACACCCAGATTTCAGTGACTTAACACAAACAAAGAAGTTTCTTTTTCACTAATGCTGCATGTCCAGCATGGGTTAGTGGGGGAATCTGCTCCACCTGGTCATGCAGGGGCCCAGGCTACTGATGGAGGTTCAACTACCTTGTTGCTGCACGATATGCCACTCACGACCTCTTTGGTTGCTGTAGCATGGCCAAAAAGAGAGGAAGCAGGAAATTAAATGTTTTAGGCCAAAAGTGACATGTTTCTACTTCTCACAACCCATTGGCCAGATCCTGTGTTATGTGCCTCTATGTACTGCATGGTGGCTGGGAAATGTGGGAGAGCCCATGGACATTCGGTGAGTAGTATTATCAATACCTCTGCCACAATCCCTGCAGTCAGATACTTTTCAGCCTGTGGAGTCACCTCCCTCGTGTTGGAGAAGGCAGGGTGTTTAAAGGCAGTGGTCCCCAACCTTTTCAGCACCAGGGAGCGTTTTCATGGAAGACAATTTTTCCACAGACTGGGGAGGGAGGAATGGTTTTGGGAAGATTCAAGTGCATTACATTTATTGCGTACTTTATTTCTATTATTATTATGTTGCAGTATATAATGAAATAATTATACAACTCGCCATAGGTTGGGGACCCCTATTTCAAAGTATAATTTTATAACTCTCAGCTGTGATCATGTGCTCTTTTGTTGCCCGCTTCATATGCAGCCAAACACTCATATACTCCTCAGGAAATCATGTTGATGCACAGAAGTCATCACACATCTGACAACATGTACAAGTCTTGGCAATTTCCTCTATTAATTCTAGTTGTCATTCATTTCTGGAGCATTTCATGTCAACTAAAAATAGAGGCATGTATGAACAAGGAAGACATTTGATGGATTATGCTTCCTAGCTGAATTTGTTTTTTTCTTGACGGCATTCAACAAAACGTCCAAGGCTTGCATTTTGAGTTATATTATAATACAGCTGCCATTTCTGTTTGTTTCTCCATTTGGAATCAGATAAACAGGTGTGTCTTTACTTTGCAAACTCTACTGTGAAATCCCATAAACATCTAAATTTACAGAACAGATTCTAATAACTTCTTTTATTTCTGAATTTTTTTAGTGCAGCTCTAGGATATATGAACTGAGGACTCATAGGTCCAAAGCTAGGGATTTTTCTTTCTGAGCAAGAAGAAACAGAAAACAGGTGAGGTCTGTTGTGTTATTTATTACCCCAGAGAAGACATTTTGCACTTTTATTCCTTTCTTAATTATTTCATCCAGCATTTTAAAATCTTTAATGTGCATACAAATCACCTAGTGATCTTATTAAAATTCAGAATCTGATTCCACATGTCTAGGGTAGGCCTAGGGAATCTGCATTTTTAACACATTCCCTGTTGCTGCTGCTTCTGCTGCTGGGCATGGCCCAAAGATCACACTTTGTATAGCTGTGGAAAGGCATGAGAACTAGTCTGTAGATGCCAGAAAGGAAAAGTCTGATAAATGTGATTTTAGACAATTAACAGATAAAGGATCTAATATTAAGAATATGTGTAGAATACCAATAAATCAATAAGAAAAAGAAAAAAGATAAGAAATAAACAATGGGCAAGGGATATCATATCACATAAAAATATCATAAAAATCCAAATGGCTGATAAGCATATAAAAAGATGTTCAACCTTACTGGAAATAAGGGAAATGCAAAATACGTAATAATGAGATAAGATTTAATACTCATAAGATTGGCATTAAATATAATAATATTAATAATTTTACATGGTTTTGAGTATTTACACAGGAGG